CATTTTCGACCTGGGAATTGAGTTCACTGAATACAAGTGTCAGAGTGCGTGTGTGTTGCATCTTCGCATCTTTTTGGTGTGTGCACAATATATATATATATAGTTTTTATTTGTTGTTACTCTTACGATTGTACGATTATGCATGTGCCTTCTTCATGTGCATCATCACTCATCACTGTGGGGAATGCCTGCCCATCTGCTCGTGGTTTGCACTGCTCCAAGCAACCTACGCCCATCCACCCAACGGCTCTCGTTGATAGCTGATGTCTAGACAAATACAGCCAAACCTCCTCTTCCGAATGAGAAGGATAATCCCTGGAAGGGAACCAACTAGTAACTAGAGCTATGGGGTTCAAGATGCGCAGCGTTGAAACATGTCGAATGCATACTGTACATTACTGTACCAAATTTGTTTTGATTAATTATATAATTGACGTTCAAAAACAGGGCCCTATGGATTGATAGGCTCCACATGGCTTGGGGCTTTTGTTCACCTTAATTAGTACTATACGTATCAGATTGGTAGGGTTATGGTGTGAAACCAACTTGCACAGGGGAAATGACTCGCTTACCTTGTGTTTCATGTCTGCTAGAGACAAAGACTCTCCAAATCCTCTACTGTGAGGATCTGCTTTCGGTGAATCGTCATGAATCGTCGTTCGCCAGCGAATCCACCAGCTCTCCTAACGAAATCGCAAGAACCTGCGTCAAGACCTTCGACAGGACCAATGTGCAGTGTGGAGGCTCGCAACGCTTTTGGATCTTCTGGATCTCTCTTCCGGATCGATTCCCGCACTCCACAGGGTCCGGTTCCACCTGAAACCCTAGCACAGGAACAAACTCTTCAAGGGCCTCCAAGTTGACGTGCCCTTCTTGTGCCGCACCCCGCAGACCTTCTTGTGCCGCACCCCTCGTACCCGCATGTGGACGCTGCCATTTGCTCAAACTGGTCGGACTGGAGTCCCAGGAACTGGTCGGGGCTCGCTGGGCTCAAAGTCTCATTTGCTCAAACCGCCCAATGAGTGGCATGGCCAAATGTTCGAGCACACATCCACCTATCAATTTGTTGGGGTAAGAGGTCTCGATTCATAGCCCCGAAAAAAGGAGGTGATTGGGGCGTCCATGAAAATCACCCAAGGGCCTGTAAGACCAAAGGCAAAGTTGGGTTGCGATACATCCACCTCAAAAGTCTCCAAACCATCATACACTCCCCAAGACTAACATGGACCCGGGTCGAATGGCACTCTCAAACACTGTATTCCTCCAGTTTTCCGCTACAAACCAGCGGTTTTCAGGCAGCAGTGTAAACCAAGTCACCGGTGGTCTCCTCGGCGGTTTCCACCTGTGTCTCTGTGGAAGTCCGCAGGCCGAAGGCCATAGCCTCGGTTGGAACGTGGGCATGCTGGAGATGGGTGGAGCTTAGAATGTTGTTGGGGCGGAAGATGGCGGAAGTAGAGATTTTATATATAATGAGTATTGTTGGAGGTTGGTGTTCTAGTTGTTGCTTGAATATTATTGAATTGTTCATTCTGTTGTGGACCAACACCAAGCTCTGTACCTGGTTGTGGGTTTTACAAAGCCGATGCTATACTCTGGACTCTCGCGGTATGGAAATCATGTGTATACTATGCTCAGTGCTCCGGCACTTGACTGATTTGCAATGTTTAGCGCGGTCTGGCAGTTTCTTTTGGGGGGGACCAGATGCACTCCACAAAGCTTACCAGACCACGAGTTCGGGGCCTGTTGATATACCTTTACCTCCCCCCGAAGAAGGCTAAGTCACCAAAAGAGACATGGTATGAAGAGAATGCTCTTTCAGGATGTTCATCTACCACGGCCAGCAGTGACCGACAGATTTCATGAGTTTTTGTTCCCAGCAACACGACCAACAAAACCACACCAAAACAGTTTGTCTTTCTCTCCCTTTTATGGAGACCCAATGGCGGCCGTGACCAGCACCACCACGCCTCGTCGTGCTCCTCCTCAGTGATGCCTGGGCAGTTCCGGTCCATGTCATTGGCGGAGTCGTAAGTGCACCCGCAAAACAGGCCTCGTGTGGCGTTGAGGTGTGGACACTGCCCCCATGGCGTTGATGCCCCTGAAAGGAACGACCAAACGACTGGGTGGGGTGAGATTTGATTCGACGATTCGTTTCCAAAACACGCCTTAGTCAGTTGAAGTTTTTTGAAAAGTAGTGGAAACGCGACGCCAGGAGTGGGGTCCCGGCATAGTCCTTGCAAAAACCAGTTGTCCGCATGGAAACGCAATGACCTGGCAATGCTTTTTATGTGTTCTGACACACCTTCCGAAGCACAATTGTCATACATTCACAACAAGCTTCTGACATGGAAGCGCAGTGACTTAATTATTGTAGCAATGATAATCTCCTTGTGGTCCCTTGACATCTCTTTGGACCAGGCTCTGGGCACTTTACTTGAATCACACAAGTTGCAAAGAGGTATCGGAACGAAGGTGAACGAGAGGGCGAACGAGGTCAGAACCCGCGCCAGCAAGGAAAGCCCTCAGAATGAAAACCTCTAGTTACCTCATCAAGTATATGCGCACACCCCTTTTCTTTCTTGTTTCTTTCTTTCCTCCCCGCTTGTCTGCTGCCTCCCCACTTGTTTGCCTGTGCGATCGGCGTTTTGCTTGATCGGCGTTTTGTTTGCCGCTTCTGCCTTGCCTTCTCCCCAACCAAACGCGACATCGATCGCCACGACTTGCATACATTCAAACCCCAATGGAAACGCTTCAAAAATAGAACATCACCATGACTTCAACATTTTATTGTATGGGCTGAGAGCTCACTCTCGTAGCAGTGGCAGGCGATCGTGGCGGGCAGCATGGGAGAAAGGGTTGCATCGGAGAGAAGGAGGACATGGCCCAGAGATGTCTAAGGAGTGTGGCCGGCCGTCAGGTGTTGCGGTGCAAGAGAAACGCAATAGACTAGAATGTATAATAGATAATATAAGACAAGGTTTTGCTTCGGAATGAAGGTATACATTTGCACATCTCCCTCTGGCACAAAGTCCGTGCAGAAGCAGCCCAACAGCAAAACACACACACAAACACAAGGGACAAAGCTTACATTTGCAACTTCATGGTTGTGATCCGAAACGTCTACCGCCAAAACACAAAGAGAATGCAACGCCACCTAAATGCAATCTCAAGAGCAGTAGAGATGCACCGTGCGCAAGTGAGTCATTAGCTCCAGGAGGCGTTGAATGGCCAAGCCAGGATTGTTCAATTCCAGGCGCTCCTGTGGCTAAAAGGATGGCAGCCATTTTCACGATGATACATCCTGAGACCCATTCAACACAAATCACCACATAAACAACTATATTTTTATATATTTAAGAGTGTATAGTCTTCAAGGCTTGAGGCACATCACAAACGTGTGTCGATCTCTCGGAACCCTGTCCGACCAGGCTTCGACCCACTGTCCGATCAGCATCGACACGTTCGTCGCCACCGACACAGACCGTCTCAGGTCGAACCACGACGGGCTCCTGATAGTCCGGCAGCAGCTCGTTGGCGGCCCCTGCGTGCGGAGCGAGCCATGCGCCATCGACATGTACAACAGGACATACCCCGCAGAAGCAACGCGCACAAACACTAAGAGTTGAACCGCTGCATGTACAAAAACCTCTCAAACAATTTTGCGATCTTCGTTAAGCTAATTTTATGTTGGATTCATCCAACTACCCAAGAAAGATACATTGTCGGACAAATTGCTGCTTGGTAAGCATGGCGACCAACTTTCACCATTGACCATAAAACCATTAAACAACAAAAGACAAGGCCTCCTCACACCGAGACTCACATCCCAAAAGCATGGAACGGGATCATAATACGCTTGGGACAGTATCCTGAAGCCTGAAGTCAAATAGTCTCTTCTCTTTCATGCCTGCCCGATTGGTAACCCTTGTTGAACCAACCACACCCACACTCTCTGCGCGGACATGGCCTGGCCATGGTTCGGTCTGTCGCGCTTTGGCCACTTCCTCCTCCAAATCCCGGGCTGCTTGGGTGGATTCCTCGGCTGTTTTTGTTGGCTACTTGAGCTCCACCGCGTTCCTCCACACGGAAAAAGGAACGCCTCCCACGAAGGAACGCACGCACGTAAGGGTGAAGGAACTGATGGTCTAAAGCCGCCCAACCACTGCACGATTCGCCACCATAGATGCAAAAGAAAGGTCAGTCATGGTGAGTCAAACACATAGATCCCCCGTGATTCTGGACAAAAGGAGCAACAGTTTGTTGGGGGCAGGTCTCCTCTTGAAAACCATCAGGCCATGCTGAAGGTCTCCTAAACAATATGTAAATCTCGACTCCTTGTTTAGATTTCCTAGACTCCTCTAGCGCATTTCCACTGGGAAATTACTTAAGCGCCATTCCAGAAAAATAAAACAACGCATGCACCTGTCACTGTCCTTTTTGGGGCTAACACGGCCGCCTCTCCCTCTCTCCAACTGGACGATCAACCCAAGACTCGGGCGGCCACAGGGGGCTCTCCGGCAGACCCTTCCTGAACGGCCGAGGCTGCCGTTGAGAGTCTCAATTCTTCAGATGTGAAGGGTTCGGAAGACTTCGGGAGTTTCCACATGAAGTTGCCGAAGGAGGCGTTCCAAACCCCACTGAACTCCCAATCATTCAAGGCCTATACCTTAACCTCATGGTGCATCCGCTACACAAGGACCCCACCACGTGGTCGACCAGACCTCCCAAATGGAGCTCGGCCGAGCACCTCAGACCGCCGAGGCGCTGCCGGTCCAGGTGCTCCACGGAGCGCTCCGCGGCAAAGACCTGGCCTCGGACCTCCCGGTCGCTGGTCGGTGTTTCGGGTCGGCGCCGAGGTGCGGTTAGGCAACCGTTGCCGGGCTGAAAAGACTTCAAGACCCGAAATCGAAAAGCCGCATCCTTTAGGGGAGCACCTGCCTTAATAGACATTCATCCCGGCCCAAATCTACGGGAGCACCTGGGCAAACGGGTGCTTTTTGGTATGTCACCTGCTGGCCAAACAAAGACACAAACTACTGCGTTGGAGGACATTTGGCAGGTCCCAAAGATACTTTAGTCAAATGGTCTATCAGAATCCTTGAACATTAAATGACCCACCTCAAACAGCTTTCGGCCGCAGTTTCAAGCAGAGCGCTCCTCAAACTGCTCCTCAATTCTTATATGTAGGAGTAGGAGCATGTTCCACTCCGTCAAACACTCCATTCCAGGTGAGCTGCAGGGTTGGAACACATCGATGGCGCTGCGCCATCTGTGACGGACTCCACACACCAGATGTGACGGACTCCGTGGCGCGGACCCGCGCCTTGCGAGTGGCGAAACGTGCCCGGAGTCCTCCACAGTACTGGCGCCGCAGGGCTTGCTCGGCACGGTCGCGATGCCTCAAACGCTCCTCAAACTCCTCCCAGGTCTTCCTGAAAAGAATGGCTTCACCATGTCGAAGTCGACCAGTCAGAGGTCAAATGGATGGACTGGTGTTCTGGATCCAGTGTTTTTCTTTTTCTTGGGGTGTGGGTTGTCAATGAAGCCTGTCAAAGCTGTAAATGGCTGAGGGTCCTGAGGGTCTCAACAGCCAAGGCACGTATCCCACCAGTGAGCCTTTGTCTCATCTGCCTGGAGACTTGCCATAGACAGGGCCAATAGAAGTAGTCAACTCTTTCCAAGGCACTTTTTGATGAAGAATCTCAATGAAAAAAAAAACCTTTCAAAAGCGACTCCATGTCTCAGCGCAGTGTGCTCACCAGTGCAGCGGTACTCACCATCCATCATCCCACGTGTGTGTTAAGGGTCAGCCTTACAACCCTCCATGCCCCTGTCCCCTGTCCCACCGAAATGCTTCACCCGTGCCTGGGCCGGACCGCGCCCCTGCGGAGCCGGACGAGCGCGTCCAGTTGCACCCAGCAGCTGGGCCTGAAGTGTCTCAGAGGAGAGCTGTTCAAAGGCCTCGCTGAGCAGTTGGAAGGCCTGAGCAGTTGGGGCGAAAGGACCTTTTCTGGGTTCAACCACTGAATGAAACCACTGGATCACCCTAAAAAATGACAAACACATGGACAAACAAATCACTTGCCAACATTTGCCAACCAAATCCTGGCTACCTCCTTGGCGCGGGGATCCTGGCGATAAACGGGACAGGGATCGTGAGAAACAAACACCTCGGATTTGAGGAATTAGACACTTTGTATTTATATATATATATATGTGTGTGTGTGTGTATGATTGATATAAACACAATATATTCCTTTTTCTACAGGATGCTCTGGTTCCACCGGACTTTTCATGGTCAAAACCTCACCTTCACCGTCCTGACACTTGTCTGGATGCACCGCCAGGGCCAAGCGCCGATACTGGCTCCGCACGGTCGCCACCTGCACGGTCCGAGTCGGGTGACCGTAGAAAGGAGAACATAGGCCGGTGCCAACGGCTTCAAATCCATGCCGTGCGGGAACATCTGATGATCAAAATGTGTGCCGACAACAAATCTGGTCAATATAACAAATATAAAACATATATATATATATGTTACTTGAACTGTTGTGAAATGCCATTCCGGAGTTGAGTCTGCCATATCATGTTGTTCGTACTGCAGGTTCGGCGAGGTGAAGCTGCAAACTACATCAAGCTACTACTGGCTGGGACTTTCTGTCTCTAGTGGTCGGTTACCCTTTGAAGAACACCTGGGCTCTGTAAAGCAATCCGGACCCCGTGATCACACCTCCACGCGCTCCACCGGAAGCTCCAGCCGAGCGAAAAGGTTGGCGGCACCCAAGATGGTGGCCACCGACATGGCGGTGGTGAAGAAAATGCATCAAGTGCATGTGATATGGACACGGAGGTGTTTTCCAAGTGTTCATATAGAGTAGTGCCTTGTTCATCTTGTTCTCCAGCTTTTCTTGAAGCCCTTCTTTTCGTGCGGTGAGCATGCATGAGATACATCTGCAAAAGTTGATGTTTTGTGTTTTGTTCTACCACGAGTGTTGCCTGTGTGCGTTTAGAACGCGCATGATCTGATGGATTTTAGTATGCGGGCATCAATTGGACAGCTGGGCACATCCGGACGTTTCCAGTACCTCACCGGACAAAAACGCCATGAGCTGCAGCCAAGGGAGTAGAAGAACCACTTTGCGATTGAATTGGGAGTGCTTCATGACAGCTAAGAGAAACTGCTATGGCAGGAAAGGAGAAGAAAGGACCACAGAATCCTGTTGGCTTTGAAAGCTGTAGTCATACAAGTCCTATGTCCGGATAGACTTTGGGTGGTCGATGAGGCCACCAAACTTAGTATTCTCTAGAGACACATCCCGTTTCCAAGGTTGCTTTCAACTTTGTAATGCTCATCGTTTGGACATTGTCAGCAATATTTTTTCACCCAACTGTCGCCCCTAGAAGTTCTACTTGTCATACCCAAATTCATCAAGTTCCATGGAAGTTCAGCTCCACATCCACTAACCCACTCCAGCCATGTCACTGTGGCGCCACCCATTCCGCTTCGGGCGCGGAGATCTCGCCGCCGTGAGCCCAAAAGCCTGGCGAGCCCTGAGCCCACCTGGGAAAATCATGCCAGTGAAAAGGGAGGATACCTGGTGGTGTGACTTTGGGGATTTTGGGGGTTCTCTGAAAGCAAATTTGGCCGTGACTCCTGGTGCCTTTTCTGAGGTCGGAAAGGCAAAACGTTCCAGATCGATAGATGCCTTCCGAAAGGCAACTGGAAAGCCTCAACCTTCCCAAGTTATGTAGACTCTTGATTAATAAAACCCAATTCAATTGAGGGGGGTTTTATTGATCAAGAGTCTACATTACTGTCCCTGGATCTAACATGGAAGTGGGAGTCTATCCCTTAGCTTCGCCGCTTCGCCCTTAAATGGTCGGACGTCGGAAGGTGGAGGCGGTTCGTACGCGCCACGCAACGTGTGCGCTGCCCGTTCGTTACGCGATGTTCTTCTTCCCTGACGTATCTCGATTGAGGAGGATTTCTAGAGATTGGTGCAAACACGTAGAGTCGTAGAGGGAGGCAAGGAATGGTCACCTGGACCTGAGCAAGGTTCATCAGCAAAGAGCTATAGAGTTGATAGAATGCTTTGTCAGCTTCTCGGTTCTTCCAAAACCTCCCGAAGTCCTAAACTTCAACTGGCCACTTTGGTCAATCCATGTCCCCAAGAGACAAACCCTGCTCCACACGCCACAGACGGCCTGTCGACGCCCCAGGCTCTGAAGCCCCGCAAGGCAAAGCACTTCCGACTCGGGGCGTACGGTACCGCCATGCGTAGCGCCATGGAGAGTCATTCCGTGTAGGCGTTGTGCATCTAAAACTGCTGTGTTTTGGGGGAAAATAATGATTAATGCTTGCATCAAGAGTTGATTTTGAGGATTCCGGGCCCTCCAGAATGCGGAATTACCAGCTACCAGGGTCACCTGAGCCCGCAACGTCTGACTTTCACGATGGGACAGAAAGAGATGTGGTTGACCCTGAGCCTCTGAAAGTACTGCCGCCTCCCAACCAGTAGTCACTATAGCTACTGGTGCGCATGTTGCACGTGCCTTTGTCACACCAGCTCTGGATAATGTTGCATAATGTTGAGGGTTGTGAAGAGTTTGCAGGCACAAGTCCGAACAGAAGATGGCGCAGGCACTTCACCACGGACATGCTGTGACATGCTACAAAAATGGACTGCTATGCAGCCCCAAGGCCACTCCCTACACGTTCACATTGCCCGCGTATTGGGATGACATGGTGACTCAGGAATTTCCCCTCCTCAGTTCCTTCGGGCCAACTAAGTTCCTTCGGCCCAACTTTTTGAGGTTGTGCCATCCCCAAATACAGAACTTGTGGTGCTACCTGTGGTCAGGATTCAGGGGTGCAAGACCTGTGACATCTGCAGAACCTGTCTTTGTTCCCCCAGTGTCGACTGGCTCAGTGTCGAGCGGACACATGGAGTCCGGAGACCGAGCGGCAGCAATGCACGGCGGTAGATCCGAACGGACAGTTCGTCACCCCAAATCCACCCAAACAGCATGCACAGCTGACCAAGTGCTTCAGCTTGCTCTGGACATCTTTTTCCGCTTCTATTGGAAGACTAGATGCAGTCTTTCCCACAACAACACATCGGTTGTGGCCTTAAACATCGGTTGTTCCAGTGGCGGCCAGCAATTAGCCAATTGAGCTGGTCGAAGAAGTGTTCCTGTAGATCCAAAAGGTAGATATAACTAGATTAATAGATTGATCAATGTCTGCAAATCCAAGGCAAAAACATGTAACTATTTGTAGATGTTAGATATTGTTAGATTATAGATAGATTGATAGATAATCATCATCAAGCAGCTAGAATATGTCATGCAATGTTCACCCAGGACTGCCCAAAGTTTCTTCCCCGAATGAGAGCTGTCCCTTGTGACAAAGAGCCAGCTTTGGTGAATGCATCCTGGCCTGGATGTTTCTCGCATCGCATTGGAAGAGGACCACCGCTTGATTCCTAGCCGCTAGCTGCTAGCCTTCGGGAAATCCTGATTGCACATGATAGCACGCCCAAACCAGACTTGTATTCCCAAGCCGCCTTCCTTAAGCTCTAGATGATCCACTTCCAGGTGGCTACCTTGTGGTTGTCAGCACTCAAGACATGCCCACCCCCCGCGCTGAAAAGAACGACGTCCAAGTGTGGCACAAGGTCTCCGATCAAAGAGGCGCCGTCCGGCAGCCGAAGAATGAGTCTGTGCGGCGCAGGCGCAGCTGACTAACCCAACCCGTCGGCCCGTCACGGCGCGCTCGGCCCATCCCATCCATCCATGTTTGGGGTGTGTGAATCAATTCCTCCCCGCCCTGACGATCCCACAAAAACCCTCAGAATTGACCGACGTGGTTGATGTTCGAAAAGCAAGAATAAACACATTCAAACAAAAATAGAAACATTCAAACATGCAAAGACGTCACCCCGAGCCACTGCCTTCACATGCACAAACGAGGTCCCTATTTCCACATCTCCAAACAAATATGCACAAAAGTGACCTGGATGAATGCACCGAGACTTCTGAGGCAATCTCCAAGTCTCTGGACATTGACGCCATAGAATATAGTCACTCATGACCCGCAAATCACCTACAAACCACACCGATCTCTGGTCGACCTCCCGCAGGTTCAGTGGTTTCCCCAACACCCCAGAGCTTCATGTCGTCTACACATCTCGAAAAGAAGCATCAAAACAGCTGACTTTTTAAAGGCTTTTATGGCCAAAGCCAGGCTCTGGCAGTGTGCATGATCTATATAGTCTTAGCTTGGGCGGGTGGAAGCCCTGAGCACCGAGAAAAAGAATTGCTGAAGTGAGGGTGTACGGAACCAGTCCCGGTCTCGGGAATAGTCGGAGGTCTGAAAGGCTAAGACATGCTGTAAACTGTAACCCATATCCTGTTCACTACCAGGTTATGGACACCATTGGACACCCCTAAGTGGCGGGCTCAAGCCTTATCAGGCCTGGACTGCGAGTTGGATAACGAGTGCAAATACATACAACTTGCCCATACACCATTTCAATGAGCCAAATCCTGCTTATTCCCGCCTGATGGCCGGTGCAATGGCCACCTGCCATGGAAACTGTGTCGGCTCGGGTGGCGACCGGTGGCTCGCTCGACTCTCCGAAATGGAAGGTTGTTAGGTCACACGATGTAACTTAAGTATAATAGTATTAGTATTAGTGACTTAAATAGTATTAGGTCACTGCATATAGTATTAGGTCAATGGAACTATATAATAGTATTAGGTCACTGTATATAGTGACTTGTGAAGCGGGGTGCTGGGAGTTGAAAGGGGGTTTGGAAAACCAACCTGGCACCTGCAGAGGCTGTGGCATTCCCGGCATCTATGCTACAGGCCTTTAGATCCAAGCCATCATTTTTGCTGGATGGGCATATCCAAAAGATCAGCTATCCTGAGTTTTGTCTTCTTACCACATCCCTCCCCCCTTCAATAAAGGCAACAACAACGACAACAACGACAACGTTTGTTGCGAGCAGAGCCGTTCCAGGGACGCGGACCTGTAAAAGGAATATATGTACTTCTCAACCAACAGCAGCATGTTTCAGCTCTAAACATCCAGAAATCCTTCACATGCAGAAAGTGTGTCGGGGTGCTCTTTCCTTTTGGTGGATGCAAAGCTGACACACACAAACTTCATCAATTGAGATATGTTGGGATCACTGTTGATACTAAGTGGTGCCCCCAGCCATCCTCGTCTCACTGATCCATCGGAGCTGAACAAAAATACAGTCTCATACCAAGCACCTAGCCTGTGGCGGCTGCTACGATTCGCACATGGCGCACTGCATGTTTCTTTTAAAGATCTGTGCGGTGCACGCGGCGTGCAGTTCTGCTCAGTTCTCCACGAACGAACTGCCTTGGATTCACGATTTACCGATGATCCTCTGAATGTAGGGCATTCTCTTGACAGCCAGGCTGGATGTGCTCAAGTCCTTGGATGGGTAGTTCACAAGTCCCTCTGTGGTGCAAAGGCTGTGTCCCACACACGTCCAGTGGAATGTCTACACCCTTGGACTTTAGTATATAGTTATACTGTATATAATAAATTAAATCAAGTAGACAATTACAACACGTCCCTAAAACGGTCTGCCGCCCCATGGCACATACACAAACGAATCACCCCCAAGCTCCGCTATACGGTCACCTCCACGCCAAGCTTCGGTCGTTTCGACCTCCGCAGAGGCTGTGGCGTCCGTCCTGCCCGAAGCGCCCGCTTTCTCAGGTCCTGCCCGAAGCGCCCGCTTGAACAAGGGAAGAACACAAAGAGCAGGGAAAAAGCAATGCAAAAGCCAACGTCTCAAACCACCACGCCTCGACCAAAACGTCTTGCCATCGTAGTTCAAGCAAAGTGCAAAGTTTGGGCCAATGGAACATTGAGGAAACTTGTTCAGTTTTGGGCCTCGGGTTGTCCGAGGATATGCAGTTCAACGCCACAAAGTGCTAAAGAGCTCTGTGACAGAATTAATTCATGCGTTTAATTTTTGTCAGCTTGCAAGGGTATGCAGGGATTGGGATAACATTTGAGTCCTCCGTGCTTTATCACTGGGATCGCTCGCCCGGCATTCTATAGAGAAATGGTGTCTAGAGAATGGGTGGTGAGAAATAGAACTCTCTATTGTAAAATGACTGGCCACGGCGTTTCCATACAATCCAAGCCAGATCAAGCATGTCACTTGAGGGATTGACCTGTGAAGCCTCTAAAATGATACAGCCAAATCTCAATAGCAAAAACTTCAAATGTGCTTCTATAAAATGTTGCGCAAATGCTCCTTCTATAAAATGCTTTTGCCAGGTGCGAACACTGTTAACCCTGAAGTTCTCCATAATAGGCTTTGCCAGATCCATGTGCTCTCACAACATGTTTTCTATCAAATGCACACTTAGACCTCTAGTACCACATAAGCATCTGCCTGTTAGAGCTCCCAGCTCCTCAATAGGGTTTCACATAAGGCATACTCATACCAAGAAAGGCCACCGAAGCTGAACAAAAAATCCTTTGGATTATATAAATGCTGTCAAAGGTTCTGGGAAATCTGCTGAACGGATCACGCAAAAAAGAAAGACAACCTATAGCGTCAAAAATGGACCACTGAAGGGCAGTGGCTGGACTTGAGACGAACGTCACGCTACTATAGTGTGAACTGATCGTCATTTGTATAAGAGGACCAAGCTGAGGATACATTTGACACCAATATTGCCTGATACATGCTTGGCGGCATAGCGCACTAGCAAGCACTTGTGCAAACATGTGCCACACTATGGAAATTCGTTGCTCACGATTTTGACTTATCAAACACCATGGACCCAACCTCTGTGAGGTATACTCGAAGCAAAGCAGTGCCTCCTTGGATCAGGTCCTGAACAGCAACGGCACAAACACGCTACCATGCAGCATGCAGTGGTTGTGACGGCCTATTCCTTTGGGCCGATGTTCATGAGGGGTTTTCATGTAGGTCTCAATGGTTTGAATTCGGAGCCGTCCAAGGTCCGGTCCTTCGCTCCTCAGCCACGCGTCCTCCAAATGGCGGACGCTGCGTGGAAGACCGCCGCGTGGCGACGTGTGAGATGCGGCCGCTTCCGGTGGTAGCCGCCGCCAATGACCTCACGGCGGTCGGAGTCTAAGGAAGGAAGGCTGAATGTGTAGTTTGTAATTAAGAAGAGGGTCTGTATTATAAAATAACATACAAGCTCGCCACAAAAAAGACAAAGAAAAAAACAAATCAGATCTAAATGGGTTTATACAACTATTGCGCTACAAAATCGCGGGTTTGGAAGCATAGTAATGATAATAATCATGAGTCAGGATCCATATTATTGTGAAATTCAGGATCCCGATCCCACCCAGAAAGCTCAAGACAACAATACAGCAAATTCTTCCCCAGTCATACTCACAAAAGCTTTCGGCTTACTTTGGAATGTTTTCCTTTACATTTGTATTTGTTGTAAATGTCTGAAGTGAAAGTCGATTGTAGCAAAATGAAGGAAACACTCAAAATCGTCCAACATCCAAGTCATAGGTTTTTTACTAAAAACTCTTGTGAGCGGCTTCACTTCAGTCTTGCAAAGGGTATCCCTTACAAGTGCCCGGGATCCACAATAAAGGAGGTCCACAATTTTAGACCTTCTCCAAGCTCTTGGCGTGAAAAGACATGTTTTTCTTGCATTTCTGTCTAAAAATCATCTTGCAAATGAAAGCACTATGAAACACATCGAAGGACCTAAGCAAACTATATATATATATACTATATCCCTCCCTCCCCCCAAAAAAACATACACTCTCCAAAAAAGAGCATGGCAAAGGAAGGCCCTCTGCTCTGACGAATCTCACATTAGTGGGTTTTGGGTGGTAGCTTCGGGAAGTGGGACAAAAGGTCCATGACTGTGCAGCCTGATCTATTGGTATTGGTGACTTGCCAACCCAAGGGTAATGAGTCCAAACAGCTTTCAAACCCAAATAGTTTTCAAGTGGAGTCCAAACTCACCACTCAGCACTGTGAGCCAACACAAACTGAAACCATCAGCAAGCTGTTATGTTGCTACTCAAAATGCTCCCATCTTGGTGGCTGAAAAGCAGAAAACCAAGTTCACAAACACAAACCAACCTCTTCTTGTGGTGGTTAACCAGCATTTAGGCTATGACCCTGCGGCCCTTCAGCATTTACCGGTTCGAGCCACGAAGGCCACCGGCACTCCCTTGGCCGTGCAAAGTTCCAGGACCATCTCCTCTCGGCGACGCAGACCCTTCCAGGAGATGCACAAGTTCCCCAAGTCATCCTCCACATGAATGTCCTTGGAGCTGGACAAGTTCATTGAAGTTCGGGTGCCTTTGGGCAAAGAACACTGGCTGGGAGGCTGGGAGGATGTTGTGTTTGGGTGCTTCTGCATGATCCAATTTGGGCAGACCGTGGCAGACTTGTGAAGGGACTGGTGACTTCCGAAGCCCTTTCGCCTGGTCCACTCCTTTCCCCAGAAAGCGCGGTAAGTCGTAAGTCGCATGGTAGATGAACCACTACAACAACCAAAAACGGTTTTTGTCAGTCAGTTAAGCTTCGACTCCAGCATCATAAAGGACCAACTCGGGTCGTACATCTTCAAGGGCCCCTTGCAAGTGCTCGAAGATCGTCGCCAAGTACCTCGGATGGACAGAACAGCTACACCAGGCCTGACTAGATTAAGGAGGAGAATCGTTACTCAGAATCGGTGACCTTGGATATTATGGCCAAGTAAGCTTGAATATGCTGCTGATGGAAGATTCTTTAGAACACCTTTTAGGCACATATATATATAATATACAACTCAGGTCACTTGGTAGAAAATCATAACATTAGAACAAATTTGTTGGTCCGGTCCTTCCAACCACTTCTATGAAGTCCATCGTAAGCATCCGTCATAATAGACCAAGTAGAAGAAACACATCATCATACATCCAATGACTCCAAGCACATCAAACCCAATGTTGTTTTCGCCAAGTGGTGTCACCGGAACCCCATGACAGCGCTGTCGTGATCTTCCCATGGTCCTCCCTGAGGCCCAAGGAGCTCTTCATCGCCCAGGCCCTTGGGCAACGCCACGTCCAGGTCGCTTCGATCATGGCCCAGGTGGCTCAAGCCCTCGTGTGGCCACACATCGGCGTCCGTGCGGGCTTCATTGGAATAGAAGGGGTGAGGTAGGCAACTGTGGGAAAGGAATGGAAAGGAAATTGCAGAGTCTAGCTGCTGCTGCTGCTGCATAGCCGTCCCACTAGGACACTCTGACACAAATAGGCTGCCTAAGCCCAGTTGCTCATGCAGCTGCACACATTCATCCAGCAAATGTACGAGCAAGTTAAACAAACATATAGGCTATATGTAGCTTTGAAATGGTTTGATCTTGGATTTGAAGGCTGCATGACCCACCAACACAGAAGGTCACCTACCAGGACCTACCCCGCTTCTGGTCCTTTTTAGTCTCGCCGTCTTGCCGGGGGGGTTGTCTGAGGCAGTGTCAGGTCCCTGTGAGAAGTACTGCTTGGATTTCACTGATTTGCTGGAACTTCTGGCAGCCCAAGTTGGTTGAGCACCTTCAGAGCCCGTGAACACAGATCTCGAAGTGATTGATGCACATGGATTGAAGGCTATTGGGTAATGTGACACCGTCCAACCGCTTGGAAAGGCTCGGGCACGACAAATTCTCCAGTGAGCTGGGAAACACTACACGATCCAAGCTCTGACTAAACCTATCACCAAAGGTCAAGGTCTGCAGGCCGCTCGGCAGCGTTACACCATCCAAGCTTTGGTTGAAACGATCACCCACGGTCAACGTAAGCAGGCCACTCGGCAGCGTAACACCATTCAAGCTTTGGTTGAAACAGTCACCCAAGGTCAAGGTCCGCAAGCTGCTCGGCAGCGTTACACCATCCAAGCTCTGGTTGAAATCATGACCCAGGGTCAAGGTGTGCATGCCGCTGGGCAGCACAACTCTGTCCAAGCTTTGGTTGAAGAAAGCACCAAAGGTCAAGATCTGCAAGCTGGTTGGTAATGTTGCACCATCCAAGCTCTGGTCGAACTCATGACCAAAGGTCAATGTCCGCAAGTCGCTCGGCAGCGCTACACCATCCAAGCTCTGGTTGTAGAAGACACCAAAGGTCAAGGACTGCAATCTGCTTGGCAACGTTGCACCGACCAAGCTCTGGTCAAACTGATGCATGAAGGTCAAGGTGTGCATGCCACTAGGCAGTGCTACACCATCCAAGCTCTGATTAAAATCGCGGCCAAAAGTCAACGTTTGCAGGCCGCTCGGCAGGGTCACACCATCCAAGCTTTGGTTGAAACACTCACCCAAGGTCAAGGTCCGCAAGCTGCTCGGCAGCTTTGCACCATCCAAGCTCTGGTTAAAATCACGACCAAATATCAATGTTTGCAAGCCGCTCGGCAGGGATACACCATCCAAGCTCTCATTAAAATGAAAACCAAAGGTCAGTGTTTGCAAGCTATTCGGCAGGGATACACCATCCAAGCTCTGATTAAAATGATAACCAAAAGTCAAAGTCAGCAAGCCGCTTGGCAGCATGACACCATCTAAGCTCTGGTTGAAATGATAACCAAAGGTCAGTGTTTGCAAGCCACTGGGTAGCGATACATCAGCCCAGCTCCGGTTACCACCCACCGTCAGGGCTTTCACACCACATGGCAGCTTTGCACCAGATAAGCCCTGATTGCCAAAACCACAGGTCAACGTCAATGTCCGCAGTTCGCTGGGCAGCAGTACACCATCCAAGGTCTGATTGAAATGATATCGAAGGGTCAATGTCTGCAGGCCACTTGGCAGCGCTACGCCATCCAAGCTCTGATTGAACCGATCACCAAAGGTCAATTCTAGCAGGCTACTGGGCAGCGCTACACCATCCAAGCTCTGGTTGAAATCGCGGCCAAAGGTCAACACCTGCAGGCCGCTTGGCAGTGTTACTATATCCAGGTTTTGGTTAAACAAAGCTCCAAAGGTCAATATCTGCAGGCCGCTCGGTAGCGCTACACCATCCAAGCTCTGGTTGAATAAAGCACCAAATGTCAGTATTTGCAGGCCGCTCGGCAGCTTTACATGATCCAAGCTCTGACTAAACCTATCACCAAAGGTCAAGGTCTGCAGGCCGCTCGGCAGCACTACACCATCCAAGCTCTGGTTGAACCGATCACCAAAGGTCAAGGTTTGCAGGCCGCTCGGCAACATTGCCCCATACAAGCTCTGGTTGAAATCATGACCAAAGGTCAATGCCTTCAGGCTACTGGGCAGTGATGTACCATCCAAGCTCTGATTAAATCCAACAGCAAAGGTCATGGTCTGGAGTGCTTTGGGTAGCGTTACACCAGCTAAGCTCTGGTCAAAGTCCAAAGTCAGCGAAGCGATTGCATTTATGGCATCCATTTCGGCAGCTTGAAAAGGAAACTGTTTCCTTTGTGCTCTTGCTTCTGTCAGTTCCCGCTGAAATATCGTGGCCGCTTCTCCAGCAGAAACATGTCTCACGACAAACATGATCTCGTCACCACAGACTTGCTGCAGCAAAGGCTTGGAAGTGTCGAGGACGTTTCCACCTGATGTGAGCACCAGTCTGCAACCTGCTTTCATGCCAGCCCTTGCTGCGATGATTCTGTACAGGTCATCAACCTCTGACGTGCTTTTGAAACAAGTGCATGATACATCATGGAACCATACCATACACAAACCCGCATGAACTAACCTAAGAAATCGCGCTCACCTGAAAAACGCTTGCCAAACCCTTTCCCGGCCACGGTCGCAGCATCCTCAGCGACCAGCTGACATGTCCAGCCATCCATCCCGTGGACGCTCAACCTGCCATCACATCCTTCAGGTCCTTCAGGTGCTACCCTCACACGTGCGCGTGCGAAGGACCCTTCCGGTCTTGCCACTGTCGCCCCGATGTCGCCGTCGCCCGAGGTCGCCTCTGCGAGGGACCTCGGGGACGGTCGTTGTGTGGGTTGTTCGCGGCGTGAAACACGCATGGTTCACAGTGAGGGACCAAGGGTGAGTTTCTTACAGCGTCCTTTTATTTGACCAATGTCAACGCATTCAATACCCCAAACATCAGCATTTCTTGTTGGAGCGAGAAGGCGGGACCCAAAATGCATGTGAGGAGTTGGAGAGTCCAAGGCGGGACCCTTCTCAGAGCACCTGGATTCTAAGGGAACGAGCCCTCGGATGGTTGAAAGGGTATTCTCCCAGTAGCAGAACTCTGATGACATGTATTTGATTGTATTTCCATCCCTCAACAACCACTGATCTTCAGGTACGGCACTTGTGGTTGAGGGTCCAAATCTTTCATCGGTGCCTCCCCTCCACAGCCAGATGCGTTCAAACACTTTGGAATAGACCACGTATGCTATACGATGTTGTTGCACTTCCACGGATCTTCATTGGCGTTGCCAACACACCAAGCCCCCAGACTGTTGGGATAGCCCCCTAAGAGTCAACTGTCTTATACCTTACATGGTCTATATAAAAACAACTTAAATAGTACATAGACCTTGCTTAAACTACTCTCTCTCTATGTATATATATGTATGAATCGACATGTTCAGGTGTTTGTCCTCCGCCAAGGATCAGCAGCTGTTCAGCCCTGACGGCCAGGCGGAGGAGTCCTCTGGCACGCTCCGGGTCCTCTGCGATGAAGTTCAGCAGCGCTGCGTCCGGCACGTCATCCGGCCGCTCCACGGCTGAACTGATGGCGCCCATGGCTGCACGGATTGAAATGACGCGTCTGGCTCGATGATCTGGCTCTAGCTATAGAGACCGCCAGTGCTTTTCAGTGTCCCTTTTCGTTTGACTTTGAAGTGTCTCACAACTATCCATGTGAGTCCTGTCTTGCGATAACCATTGATCCCGCGCGACGCCAAGAGTTGTGTTTCCGCACAGCTTATAAAGTCCCACAGCTTAAGTCCACAGAGTCCACACGAAACTTCGGACCATCTTTCTTTCGGACCATCTGTCTTGCCAAGTGAGTGTCTCCGCCATCTCTGCTGTCCAGTGTCACATATGGTGAGTTGACATGACGAACGACAGCCAATGGCACCTTGAAGCCGAACGGGAAGTTCTCCTTGCAATGCACCGACATCGTAAACGCTCTCGGCTCATCCTGGCAGGTGTCACCCCCAAGTGGACCTACTCCAGTCTTGGGTTCGTCTCCAAAAAGCATGGTCGTTCCTCGGTTCGGTGCTGAGAACCTCATTAGCCCATATCTTTGTCTGAGCTGCTGTGGTGGCCCCGTGGCCCCTCTTGCAAATCCTGTTTGCCATAAGGATCCATGAGGGTGAGTTCATCCAAGCAGTCTTCCAAGAGTCTTCAGCAAAAGTGTAGAGGACAAACATGAAGCTCTACAAGCCCCAGCGCTTCACCTCCCTCTTCAATCTTAAGTTCGGATCATCCTTTGTATGTATAGATTCCTTAAGCCTCATGCACGTTCAGTAAAATAAGAACAGCCAGTGGAAACACAAGGCTCGCACTCTGCAGCAGTGGAAGTTCATCTACTTATCCCTGTGGGCCTGTGGGCATCATTCTTGTTGGACCAAATCTATTCCGTGCAGGCACTCCCATGCAGCAGGGAAAATGCGTGGGCACTTGTGGAACATAGAACACATGGGCACTTGTGTCCGTTGCACGTGCCATCTGTTTACGTCATGTTCCAGTGCTTCGCCGCGAAGACAAGGAGTGGATCTTGATCATCTTCTTCCAAACACTACTTGGCGGCACCAAACATCAAAAACATGTTGGATGCTCAGCGCTGTCTTTCTCATTGCTGATTTCTCAGCACTTGTGTTGCACGAACTTAATTAAGCAGGCTACAATAATCCATTCCCACAATCTACGCCCCAAACCTCATCTAGTCTAGACTCTAGTCCACCCAAAACGCCCCAAACCGCAGGGCAGGTTCTGCCCTCTCCACGCCCACGGACGGCGGGAACCGGTCCCGGTGCCCGGTGCCACCTGGAGAATTTCAGCGGTGCCATCGCCCTGGTGAACGTCGAGATCGCAAATCAAGATCTTCGACACCGCCTTCTCCTGGCGGTCATGCCCGTTTCATGCCGGAAGTAGATCTGGCTGGCTCGCACAATCCTTGTTTGGGATATTATATATCTAATTATATACTATTATATATGGTGAGTCTGCTGTTTGATTCATTTTGATTCTCTCTCGAGCTCTCTCTTCTCCAGGGCCAGTTGAAGCATGTTGAAGCTGGATTTGGCGGGGCCGTTTTTGGTGAGGATGTGGTCCTGTTTTGCTGTGATATGTGTGTATATATATATACTATATATATATATAGGTTCGCTCGGGAAGATTTCCTGATGCAGTGAGGAGCCTCCATGTGACTGAGATCTCTGTCTGGCCACAAGTCTGGTAGCACCCCCTTTCAACTTTCGGCTCCCGTACAGTAATAGCAATGGCCTCCAACCTACTAGCGATGGCCTCCATCCATACTAGCAATGGCCTCCATCCTCATAGCAATGGCCAACACACACACAAAACAAAGTTGACATTGTTCCACCAGTTCATTTGTGGGGAGATCCAGCTCACATCTCACTTTTCCAGTTCAGTTTTGAAGAAAGGTTGAAGCCATGCCCAAACCAAGTGAGCCGGTTGCTCCTGCAGGAGGACTTTCGCAGTGATCGCCAAGTCGTTCAGCACTGTGTAGCCACTGCCCCAGGCTCTATGAGCATGATGAGTGCCACCAGCACAGTGGCCTCCAGCACATCTGTTGCGGAGTTGGCACTGTTTCTTTTGAAGTCAACAGGGCGTGGTTTCCGTTGCTCTACAGGCTCTACAGGTTGCGGTATAGATTAGACCCCCGCCCAAAAGCTGTACTTCTGCGCCCCTACCTCCTGATTGAATCAATTATTGACAGTGACGGGACCCTGTTGGGGGCCTTGCACAACGCCCTGTTGGAGTATGCTGCATATGCTCTTTAAGCTCTTAAAGTTGGATGAAACCCTCCACGATCAGAAAACGCTGGACTCGTCGTCTTCGAGGTCTAAGGAATGTTCAAACAAAGGTCAGATCTGAACAAGTCAGGGCCCCAGTTGATTCGCCCGCGATCAGCGACTCGTGCCTGCCATGCCCACCTGGAAGCAGGATTTGTTCACCAAATGGATGGGGAAATTCAGGGGAGCTTCTATTCCAATTTGGAAGGCCAACCACTATCAACCACTCCTTTTCCAACATGTTTTGGCACGTTTGCTATATCAATTGCATCTTATATCGGCCCAGTGGTCGATCTGTGCCGCTTCGGCGCCTTCAAGGCCTCCCTGGCGCAAGTGAGTGTGCCCGCAGCTTCCCAGCACGTCCGTGCCACCAGTTGCCGGTGGTCCGGGCGCTGCGCGAAGCCGATGCGACGCAGCGCGGCGGGATCCAAGGTGTCGCTGCAAAAGCGACGGTAGTAGTCCTGCCAGGCGGAAAGTGAGCGGCGGAAATAGGAAAAGTGACCCGGTAGATCAAGTGGAGAGGAACATGAGTGGAATCATTGGAAGATATGATTGGCAGTGGGTGTGAAGTCTAAATAGCCAGAATCAACCTTGGGCGCGCTCAGTCATTTGCAAAATATATCTATAATCCCAGTATTTCTTGAGCAAGCATCTGCAAACAAAACGAAGAAGCCAACAAACATTCTTCTTCGACGATTGGTGTTCGATGGTTTTCGATGTTGAGAATCCTTTAGGGCATGTGCACGTCCCATGGAATCATGCCAATATGGCTGCAATTTCTACGTGCATGGGCAGCTGCATATGGCTGCAGCTGTTCGGTGTGCAGGTCACTTAAACCGTTCCAAGTACCGTTCCACACCGAACCAAAGCCTCAGTGAACTCTTGACTGATCTGGATTGAAGCGTGCTGTTCGCGCGGCGTTTTGAGGCCTCCTCATGTGCCAGGAAGATCCACTCCTCCTGCAAAGGCTGCGGCATCACAAAGTCCTCCCAGGCGGTCACCAGCTGGTCCTTGAGCAGCTGCAGGGCCAGGTCATGAAACTTCCACATGGGGAACCTCACCACGGTCTGGCGGCATGGTTGTTTCGCTGATGGAGCCCCAAGGACTCCTCCCCCCAACAAAAAGGTATGAACATGTATCAACATCAGTTCATGTCACAGAATTCAGCGACAAACCTCAGGTGTAACCCCCTGGAATCTCTTCAGGTTCCCAAAAAAGACATCCTGCCCAATGGGTCCGGTAAAGCATTGCATGAAGATGAGAAGGCTCCCTCATGCCACACGAGAGAAGGGTGCATCTGTCTGTGATCCCCCGTGGTTGATTCAAACAATTTTTGGCAGACCTTAGACTCTAACCCGCATCAACCACTCGTAAATGTCTGTCTTGCCATGCGCGCATGAACCCTTCTCCGAGTGGCCGATGGGTCGGTGGCCAGGGTGGAGAGTAGCTGTGGTGGTAGACGCTGGGCGGAAGGAGGCGACGCAGTGGCGACATCGCGTCTTCGCAGCGTGGCCAGGAAACGACAGCGGCGCTGCGCATATGAGCTCTACGTTGGGTCCCGTTTCAGGAGCTTGACATGAAAAAGCCAGGGATGCCTTCAAAATTGGGTCTAAGAAGTACATCTGCCGTCCAAGAAACGCCACCTTGGCCCCTTTCTGCTCGGTGTACAGGTACAATCAGGAACACAGCCGGACTAGGTTGGGCAGCTGGATGCTGGCAAGCCCAGCATATGCTGGTTGTCGTTGAACAGTTCTTGGAGACCTATAAGAAACCAAGTGAACCAAATCCATAGATTCCCTATGTGGATGGGTCAAAAACCTCGGGCCCCATGTAGCCATGTAGGTTGACCTCCCAGGTCGTCTATTCTGTTCATTTGGCTGGTCAACTCAGTCACCCCGGCTTCAACCCTCAGCCATGTTCGATCCTGGAACAGCTTGAGCCCAGCGGTGCGTTGGAGGGATCATGCCGGATCTGCGCGGTCGGGATCACTGGGAAACACGTGGATTCCATTCATGTTTGGGCTCACCACACCAAGACTTGACCTAGCAATGAGTTGCATGTTGATGTTCTCCCGAAAATGGGGACGAACTAGGAAAGACATCCAGCAAACACTGCAGGCAATGGTATCTGCCAGTGTCTGCGAAAAAACTTTGCTGCAACAGCCGTTGGCTCTCTGATGTTTATCCCGTTTGACGCCCAGCTGTTTGACGACCAGGCTCCGGAGATCTTCTGTGAGTCTTTGCCAACGCGTCTTAGCGACACCGAGTCATTTCCTCAAAGAATCCGGAGGACATGGAGCAGCCATGAGGTCTTCTAAATGTTGAGCTCACATGAGGACGAAACCCACGGTCAAGCACGCCAGCCACACAAAAGTTGGCAGTTTCGTGAGCTCCACATTGGAAGCTTCAGGCCTGCGTAGTCCGTTTTGGGCAAGTAGGCGACTGCTGCCCACTAGCAGCAAGATCTGTAAGGATAATTTGATGGTCGCAAGTCGCAAGGGTGCTGTTGTATTCATCGATTTTAGACAACTATATTACATTATTGATATGTATAAATATATATATACATATGTATACATGGTATAGCTATGTATAGCTAAATTACATGGGAACCAAGAAAGCCCTTGCCGTGGTCACTGTCAGTCAGGAAGCAGCCTTCGAGCAGGCATCCAACATCGTAAAGTTTGGAGTAACAGTGCGGGTGACCAACCTCTTTGAATTGCAGGGTCATACAGGCGGCTCACCAAAGAACATAGCCAAGCCCCGTAAAACTGGCCGCGAGCTCCTCCTGTTCCGAACCGTAGCACATATCCCGGCCGTGATGAACTGTGAAACCAAGTTCATCAATGCCAAAGATCTGGAATTGACTTGTCTTTCTTGAAAGAATATTGCTTGCTCTTTTGGCTAACAAAATACAACTGGGGGAGTAAGTAAGCCGTGCGGGGGAAGGTGAGACCTCCCAAACAAGTCCTACCCGGACCCATGGGGTCATCGACCTCTCAACATCTCTGAACTTATTGTCGGTACATCTATGTCCCCAGAGAGCGGCACCCAGTGCTACATCGATTCACCGGAACGCGAACGCGGCACGCAGGCACACCGGAAACCCATCGCAGCACATTTCGGCTCTGCCGAGTGACGTTGCAAGTTCCGCTGGCTCCTCTGTACCTGAGCCGACTGAGCCAACAGCACGCGTAAACCAGCCACGTAAACTACACTGCCGACTGAGCAGCACAGGAGTTGTTGGGGACATGCGCTGGTCAGGCTAGCTTTGAGCCATGAACAAGGCCAGCTGGAAGGAGAATAGTTAGGGAGGTGGTAGCAGAAAGAAACAAAGAACATGCAAAGAAATCCATGAGACCCTGAGAAGTGCGAGGTGCCATCATGGAAAGCTGTAGTCTAAAAACCACCGAGACTTCAGCTAGGCAGCCCTTGCTGAGCTCAGGGCCAGTGCATGCTCGACTTCTTGACCTAGGGCGGGTGGGACACGGACAGCCTACCATGGACAGCAGCAACATCAACGTGTCGTCAACCTGTAGGATGAACTGGATAATAGGCGGGGGCAGTTCCAAGATGAGTCTGAGGGAAACTGGAAACTGTCCCTCCAAAGAAAAAATGATTAGAAGGAAAGGCTCTCTCTTTAAGTCCCATGTGTGCGACATAAACTCGTCAAAGTTCAGAGGCATCAATGACATGTTTCGTCTTGTGAGGGGCCCAGCCCACTGAGCCAACCCGTGCAGTATCCTCGCACATTGTGCAACAAAGGTGTAATCAAGGGTCTTTACTGTAAACTACCCCGTGGATCCCAGTCACGGGTTTTTGAGGAGTTATGCAAGATTCTACACCCGTGGACTGTTGGACGATGACTCTTCACTCCCCTTCAAAGGCCCTTCAGTGGCCGAGGTCTTGGTTCAACTTTGTCGTCTGAGACTCTCTTCTTGGATTGCAATCCGTTGAACGTGTCTATATATACATGTACACGTATATGTTATAAATAAATTAGAAACCTAATACATATATATATATAAATACAACTATAGACTATAGATTGACAACCAAAAGGATCAAACCCGGAGCCGAACTCTCAACCCCCAAAAAGACTCACCTGTAGAACCCTCCACGTCTCTTTGGGCCGGTTTTCTGCCGCGCGCGAAATCGACGGCGGAGGTTGTTCTCACAACGCAGAGCGTAGAACTGGATGGGCTTCGCCAATGGCAGGACCATGCTCCGTAAAGGCTTTGGCCGCATCAGGGAACTGCTGCAGCAGCCAGCCTGAAAGAGCTGACTCCCCAAAGCACTCCAGAGCTGTCTGTTTCGAGGGTTCTCACCAATCGAATTGGTCCCCCCTTAGAAAAACCAAGAGCGACACCAAAAAAAAGGCGAGAATCATCGGATCAAAAGCTCGTTCCCCTTGGTTTATGTGTATGTGAACATATATATATATATATGAATCATATGTCTTGGAAAGACAACCAACATGTCCTGGACAAGAAGGATCACCATACCCGCGTCGACCGAGCACCTGCCTGCCACGGCAGGTCGAGTCTTCTCAGGAAACGTAGCGCACACATGGCCGGCGAAGAGCTCTCGGAAGGGAGGATGCAGCGCCAAAGGCTTCGCCACAAAGTCCTCACAACAGTGACAAGTTGATGATGTGTCACAAAATGTGTTGCGTACAAGACTTACAGCAAAACCTCTTGACAATATTCTTGTCATGTTGGCATTGCATGATTTGCATGTTGAAACTGACCATCCGATCGAATCTATTTGGACTCTCCAACGACTGGACTGGCTTTGGTGGACTTCCGTTGGATCTTTCTTGAACGAATGGGATTTCCAAACATTTGGATCAATGGAAGTCCACCAAAGCTACTCCAATGAGCTGCACATTCCAACAATTGCGTGGTTTAGCTCGGACAGTGCACGAAAGGGACGCGGGGCGTATGGAGACACATGAATGTATGTGAGCCACATGCAACATTTCTTATGTAGGCGGGTATTTAAACCGTCCCCTATCGTTTTCCAATAACTAGCACTCTTCTGCCCGGACTGCAAGATTCCATGATCCTCGTGTTGGTTTCCTTCCTACGCATGAATGCTTTACAGCCAGCAGCAACGTGTTATTGTACTCGCTTTGCGAAGAATCCGAGCTGGGGGACAATTTCCCCATGTTACCTGCAACCTTGAAAGCGCACACATGGGCAACTGGGACTTGAAAGTCAAGGCTAATCATTGCTCCTATTGTATCCCCTATCCTTTGAGGTCCGTTCAAAAACACATGGCGTTGGAGGAAAACATGACACCGATGCTGAAGCCAGTTGTGGCTTCAATTAGAAGCAAATCAGCTCCACACATCCAAGCAGGTGACAGGTGTATGTGAAACCCTATCGCTTCTTGGCCGTCCCCGATCGTTTTCCAACGAACATCAACAAAGCGATTGGATGAAACCTCTGAGACAAAACAAGTCATGGACAATTATGGCGTTTGTCTCGTGTACAATATGCATCAATATACTGTTTACTCAATTAATGGGCAGCTTAAAGGAGTCATGTCGGTGTCTAGTTCCGAAGCAAGGTCCAAACATGACACATTTCCCATCATTTCCCTGTCATCCCATGTTGTAGCTGTGCGCTTCAGGAAGGCAGCGTAAGAACTTCTACTGTAGTAAGAACAACCAACAATGCAAAAATTGGCCGTTTCTGGCTGGTTCTTCCGCCTGCACCACTGCAATGGGCTCGCGGCGGATGGCCAAAAGAAGGAGCTGGAAAAACATCATGGCCTGGAACAAACACGGCTTCCAGGGCTTTTCAGACCCAGCGTTGAGAGGTGACATGCCTCACACACCACGCTCGGGGTTGGCACCCAACGGCCCAACGGTCGTGTTCCAGGTCAAACTGGAACGACCCCTTCGGGTCTCTACCTGGGTCTTTCTTTGGTTTCTTTCTTTCGTTGCCACATTAAGAATAGACCTTACTAGGCACTATAGTTTCTCCTCCACCCCCTCCTTCTCACCTGCCTTCTTCTCCTCCTGGTGTCCGAGTGCCTGCTGAGCAAGCTCCCCGAGCACCCAGGAGACATCCTCGGGACTGCCTCGATCACCGGGCGTCAATGGACGATCGCATGTGCTTGAAACCAGCGCTTGGACGGCATCGACGAGTGACGAGCGCATGGAAAATCAGCATCCGGCACATCAACTGATCAAATTGGCGTGCCTACGAGGGAACAATAGGAAACACATTGAAAAACACGACATGTTTTTGGTTGTGTGTATTTTAGACAGTGCCATGGCATTAGTTGGGAGTTGCAACACTCAAATCAGGGATTATATGGGCTTGGCGGAAACCATATTATAGAGAGTCTTGCACATCAAAATGTGCACAATGACATCTTCCCGTACAAATACTATCTTCAGTCATAGGACTGCAACTGCTGGAGCCTTATAGGGCATTTCTTGCTTTGAACGAATGTCATCGAATCTCCCTTGTACTAATTCCCTGGAATCTTGTGAGATTGTGTCCATATACGGCGCCCCCCTAAATG